ATATATATATATATATATATATATATATATATATATATATACATATATATATGTATATGTATATATATGTATCTATATATCTCTATTTATCTATATATCTATATCTCAGATCTTTATACTGTTTCCCAAGTCTTACACTCTGTTCTGTATATTCGACTCTTTTTCTCTCTATGATTTAGCCTGGATATTTTCTTTTGCCCTATTTTCCAAAGCTTTCTTCAGCTGTGACAAATCTGCTCTTAAACATATCTGGTGACATTTAGTTTAATTTAGTTAGCTTTAAATCTTAGTTAATGTATTTTTCAGTTCTGGAATTCAATTTGATTTTTTAAAAACAGTTTCTAGTTCTATAATTTCCCATAATGTTCAATCATTATAATTTTTGTAACAAGTTTGTCTTAGACCTTCTCCAAATCTGTGTCTTTTGTTTTTATGATCTATTTTTCCTTTTGGTTTTAGTCATATAGTCGTATCACTCAGTATGCTTGGTAACTTTTGTGCATGATGACTTGAAGAAATAATTTCAGGCTCAGAGTAATGTTATTCTCCTCCAGAGAAGATATACATTTGCTTCTGGCAAGAAGTATGGTTGGGATACATCGTCTTCATCCAAGCAGCAATTGAGCTGATTAGAAGCTGAGTTTCAGTCTTAGTAAGGGTCAACCTATAGCCACTATCCTCCTCCTTCTAGGCTGAAACTCTTAGTGTGTCCCCAAAAAGCTTGAGGTATTTACTAAGGCTCCTTCTGTTGGTGGGCCCTTGACTCCACCGGTTTTGTTTGTTTGTTTATAAATGGAGGTGCTGAGGATTGAACCCAGGAACTTGTACATGCTAAGGCCACATTCTACCAATGAGCTATACCTTCTCCCCTGGAATCTATTCTTGTTCCCTTAGTCCTGTAAAATTGCCAGGATCTCAGCTCAGCTTCTTAGCTTCTCCATCACTGCTTTTGGCTCAGCTCCTTAGCTACTGCCTATAAATTAGTAAATGCTTTGAGGGCAAAAACATTGCCAAATGTCAGGGTCATCTCTTTACACTTCCCTTGTCTATTATTGTAAGCCTCTTAAATCCTTACTGCCTTGGCAGCTTCTGATGCCTTCATGCAGCTATTTTTAATATTTTATCTAGCTTTTCTGGTTGTTTTCAGAAGGAAGGGTAGCCTGTAACAAGCTAGTCCATTAATTTCAGAAGCGTAAACACCCAGGTTTATTATAATCTTACAGCCTGTTATGGATTGAATTGTGCTCCCCCCAAAAGATATGTTGAAAACTTAACCCACAGTACCTCAGAATATGACCCTACTTGGAAACAGGGTCTTTACAAAGGTAATCAAGTTAAAATGAAGTCCTATTCAACGTGACCACTGTCCTTATAAAATACAGGAAATGAAAACATAGGTAGACAAGCACAGAGGGGAGATGACATAAAGACACGAAGGAGAAGACAGCCATGTAACCAGAGTGATGCATCTACAAGTCAAGAAAGGCCTCATGCTAGGAAACTAGGAGAAAGGCAAGGGACAGCATCTTCCCTAGTGCCTTTAGAGGGAACATGGGCCTGCCGACACCTTGATTTTGGTCTTCTGAACTCCAGAACTGTACAACAATAAATTTCTGTTGTTTTAAGCCACCCAGCATGTGGCCCTTCTTTAAAGCAGCTCTAGAAAACTAACAAAGGACCATTTCATCTTCAGGTCTGGGACAGTTAATTTTATGTGTCAATTTGACTGGGTCACAGGGTGTCTAAATATTTGGTTAAACATTATTTCTCAGGGTGTCTGTGAGGGTATTTCTGGATGAGATTAACACTTGAATCAGTTGACTGAGTAAAGCAGATTGCCCTCCCCATTGTCCGTGGGGATCCCCCAGCCTGTTAAGGACATGAATGACAGAAACAGTGGAAGTTGAACTATCTCTGCCTGTTTGAGCTGGGACATGGTCTTCTCCTGCCCTCAGACTAGGATGTATACCACCAGTGCTCCTGTTTCTCAGGCCTTTGGACTTCAACTGGAACTACATCACCACGGCAAACTGTGGGACTAATCAGCTTCCATAAATTTGAAGTCAATTCCTTATAATAAATCATATATATACATATATGTATATATATATCTCCTGTTTCTCTGGAGTTCTGACTAATGCAACATCTTACTCCTTTAGAACAGCTTTTTCCTATTTCACTCGTTTTACATGGGTGCCCCCCCTTCAAATGTTATCTTTCAGAGAAGTCTTCACTAACCCCTTCCTCAATTTTCTAGAATGATGTCTTTTCCCTAAGTTATTCTCTGTTACCTCATTGTATTTGATACATAACACTTCTCACTATCTAAAAGAATCTTACTTGGTTACATGCTTACCATCATTCCTGCCACTCCTCCCCTAACTGCAACTAGAAAGTAGAGTCCTTGGGGGCAGGAACTCATCCCAGGCCACCACAGTCTTTTCAGTGCCTTAGAAAGTACCTGGCACATTGCAGGCACTCACATACTTGCAGTAAGTCTTCCCTGTGTCCTAAGCAACAGAGTACATTATCAAACTTCCGAACCTTTGTCAAATTTACAGGTAAAAAAATAGTATCTTAATTGTAGTTTTAATATACATGAATGAGACTAACTTTTTATACGTTTAAAAGCTATTTATATTTTCCTTTTTGTGAAATGTATATTCTGTCTACTTTTTTCAAAAGTTGTTAAATCTTTTTCTTACTGATTTATTTGAAGGAATTCTTTCCATACTAAAAATATTTGTCCTCTGACATTATTTGCAGATAGTTCCCCGAATTCCTGACTTTTTAAAGGTATTTTTTGTAATGCAGAAAATTTTTATAAAATTGAGTTTTACTGATTTTTCTTTATGGGATCTTACTTTTATATGATAGGGTAAGGTAGAGTAAGTTCAGTAAATATTTTCATTTACTAAGCATGGTAAGAGAATGCTAGTGGTTCATCAATATCTATTCTCTCCTTCTTTAGTGGAATCTGATAGCCCCTCAGCTAGAGACTACATTCACAGCTTTTCTCCCAGTTTGGTGTGGTCATGTAACCAAGTTCTAACCAGTGGGACATGAACAAAAACCATGAGCACCACTTTTGGGTCGCCCTAAAAAGGAATGCATTTGTTCTCATGAGGCTTTGTCTCCTTTCTCACAGGTGGAGACAGAACAAGGCTGGAGTGACTTCCTTGGATCTAAAGATGGGCACCATACAGCGAAGACAGCAGAGCTGCTCTCCCAGCCCTGGACCCCTTGGCTTTTACCCAAGAGGGACATAAATCTCAATTTTGTTTAAGTCATTGTATATTTGGGTCTCTGATTCAGTAACTTGCCATATATGCCTTAACTAATACACCAAACTTATATAGTCTGAGGAGCTGGTTTACTTCAGATGAACAAGCCCTATCCTACGCAGCAAAAAAAAATAAATAAATAAAAAAATAAAATAAAAACAATTAATTCTGAGTTATGCTTTACTATAAATTGGTTATATTTTCTTTTTCTTAAAATTCAAAGACTGAATCATCTTTCAAAATCATCTTTCAAAAATCGTGACTAAGACTAAAACTCCATTTAGAAAAAGTTTCAAATTCAGAGCCTCAGCAGGAATTAAGGCAGAAAGGGAAGAAAGTAGGATGTATCTCGACTAATCCTAGTAATTCCATAGGGAAATTATTATACCTTTATTTGGATAAGGAAACTGATTTTTTAAAAGTCAGAAGGATTGCCTAAGGTTTCACAGTTAATAACTGGCATATCTGGGATTCAAACCCAGGTCAGTATGATGCCACATACAATTTCACAGCATCACCCTTCCTTTAAGGAAGGCTCCATTCAATTATTGCTGCTACAAATGACTATTTTAGAGGTCTATTTTCATTAGAGGCTTAAAACCTATAAAATGTATGTATGTGCTTATGTTATGTTTGAACTGAATAATTTAAGCAATATAAGGGAAATTAGTGTGTAGTCACATACATCATAGTGTCCATATCGGTTGATTCAAAAAGCAAAATAAGAAATCCTGAAGTACAACCTTTTATCCAATACAGAAGGGTACAAAATCAGAGTGGAAAAGAACAAGGCAAGGGATTCCTGTTTTCATCCTGAATACTTCTCTATTTATTTTTTGAACTTGCATATGTGTTACTTTGGTAATTTAAAAAAAAGTATATAAAATTTAAAACATAAAGTCAACACTTTAATTCACCAGTAGTGGATTCCTAATGGATTTCTCTTTTTCACCCAAAAAAGGTGGGATCACTTACTTATATATGTATTAAGTTGAACCAATTTGTGACTGCAATTTTTGTAGATTATTGGTAATAAGCTTCAAATTACTATGTGGAAAGGAAATCTATAACAAAGAAAACATGGACTTAGAATCAGAAACACTTGTGCTTAAGTTCCTACTTTGCCATTTATTAGGTAAGTGAATTTGGGCACGTAACAACCTCTCTGAGCCTTGGTTTCCCTGAAAATGGAAACAATAACACCCATTTTCAGATTTGTTATTAGACACAAAATACGTAAAGTCCCTAAAACCAGTGCATAACAAAGAAGAGGAATTTAATGAATGACATGATATAAACATATTTAGTGCCCAAACTAATAAAATAATATTAATACCTACATGTATAGTGATAATGTGATGAAGGTTTTTCAATAATATTTTAATTTATAACTTTGGATTCTCCCTCTTATTTGTCATACTAATTTAAATTATTGCTGCAAGTGTGAAGTGAAATTACATGTACCAGTTCTAACAATAAAGCAGAGCTAAATAAAGTGCATCAGTGGCTACGGAACTAATTCCGGTTTCTGAAAGCAGAGAAGTAATAGGCTATTTTTATACCTTCCTCACAGATACTCTGTAGATACAAGGGTCCAGGATGCCTGTGGTGGCACTTGCACTCATTTTGCACATAAATGAGAACTTCTTTCTCCAGTGAACACAGTTTGCTTGCACCACCTCCCTGAAGGGGGAAAAAAAAACCCAAAATCAGTTAATTAACTATTATTGATGACATGTTAGAAAGCACATACTCTTTCACTCAAGTCTATAATATAAACATGATATATTAAAAGCCAATATTTAGAAACAGTGAAACATTAAGAGAACAAATTCCTAACAATGTGATCTGAAATCTTTAGAAGGTTTTAATTATCCATAGGAAAATGAAAAAAAAAAGTGAATTTACTTACCAATTTAATCAATATAAACTGATGCTTCACCATTCATTCAGCACACAATACACATTTGTTTATATTAGGTGTGATGAGTATGTGGTAGGTGATTAAAATATGAAGATGAAAATGACAGTTTCCTAACTGTATAGGGCTTATAGTTTATAGTTAGTGTAAGAGACAGAAATATAAACACTTATTCTGAAATGAACTACTGCACAGTCTCACGCCTATTCCAGCCATGAGAGCAACAGCATCCACCATCTATGGACAGCGTATCACATGCTATTGAATCTCACAACCACCCCAGGAGGCATCCTCCTCACTTTACAGGTCAGGAACATGAGGCACAAGGAGAGACGTTAACTCAAGGATATTCAGGTAGGAAGCAGCACAGCTAGCACTCAAACTGGGCTCATTCGACTCAAAAGCCCACTTGTCTGTTTTTTCCAACAACTCTGCTCTTTCAAGTTTCCAGGCCTTTGTACGTGCTGTTCCCTCTACTATCCTCTTAGAAAGGAAGGATAATTATTCCTCTAACATAGGAAGAAAAGAAAGACAGTGGGCAAAAATAAAGACAAAGCTGGAGAAAGCAAAAGGGAGAGGCAAGAGAGCCCAAGTTAAACGGTTTTCATTTTCTCAGGAAAGTGTAATAGGTGAGGTTACTGCTGCAGGAAGACGGCAGCTGATGGCCAAGCTGACAGTTTACATCAAGGCTGAGGATGGTGAACGTGACAGGGAGTCAACTTGCAGCTGCCTCAGTGAATAAAACGAGTTTGCACTGGGACCAGTAAGTTTGGTTTTATGGATTTCTCCATCAATGCACAGAAATCCACGAACAAGAAGTGCAAAAACAAATATAATTTAAAAACCAAGTATGTGTTTGTGTGTGGTGTGTGCATGCATGTTTACTTATATACATACAAGCAGATACACAAATGGAGAGGACGACGTGTATTTTATCATAGGTTTAATTGTCATAACTTTAGCTTTTTTTTTTATTAGGAAACTCTAGGTGATTTAAGGAATTATGATATGAAGAGAATGTATATGTGAATATGTGTATATGCATACTGAAATCCAGCAGGGGTGCAGTTTATCTGTATGGTCACAAAACAGGCAGAATAAAAGTTTGGCAAAGCATGGATCAGAAAGTATTTGTCAGGCAACCTGAGGCATCCCCAGTAAGATGAGCAGCAGCTAACCTATACACTCAAAATTAAATGAAAAGGGGAGGGGAGGGATAGCTCAGTGGTAGAGTGCTTGCCTAGCAAGTGTAAGGTCCTGGGTTCAATCCCCAGTACCTCCATTTAAAAAATAAATTAAATAAAACTAACTAGCCTACCCCTCAAAAAGCATACAGTGCTGTATGTTAATTATATTTCAATAAAACTAGAAGGAAAAAATTAATAAATAAAGTGAATTTTTTAAAAAATTAGTGAAAAATCAAGAGAATAACAAGCAAGAAAAATAAAACCAGATTTTTTTTTTTTCATTGTTGCTTCTCTCTCAACATCTCTTGGCCTTGAGACTTGATCAAGGCATTAGCCATGGACTCTGGAGTTTCCCAAAAAAGGGATGCAGGCATACCAATGACTGGACTCCAGACCCTTCCAGAGACTGCTGAGCTTCAAGGCACTGGGTTGTTTCTGTCACTGAGACCAATGACATATGATCAAGAATCAGAAACAATACTTTTAAAAAAAACCTATTATTTTACTTTTCTGATAAAATTACATAAAACTTCTGATTAAGGATGAGAGATTGGCTGCCTGTATTAGCCTCTGTTCCCTCCCCAAAATATTCTAAATTAAAACAAAAAAAAATTTTAAGTGACCATGTCACAAGGACAAAGAGACCCAGACGGGAGACAAAAATAAGTGGCCAGGGACAGACAAGTGAGAACTGATTAAGCAGATCAAAGAAAGCTGAACCTTGAGCTGGAAATAGTGAAAGCCAAGAGCAGGGATCTAAAATTGATCTTAAAGTAGAATAAAGGAAGGACAAAAGGCAGAAGGATTCATTGAAAACTCATTTATTTTTATTCATTTATTTATTTTGGAAACTGTTTTAGAAACAGAGCCTCAGATCCTCTCTCTGACTCCTGCAGAAGACTGAGATCATTCTCCTGACAAGGTAAAAAAACAAACGGATCTCTGAAATACCTGACTTGAGGGCAGGTATTGAAAATAGCGTGAGAGCCTGACCATATCAGGGGGAGGGGGATGAGAGATGACTTACTGAATGCTGACACCTCCAACCTTCTTCCCTTCACCTGGCTCCTCAGAATGCTGGGGCCAGGTGTATATACATATTTTTTCTTTAAGATGTGGAAAGAATATTCCCTGGGGAATCCAACTACCCCAAAGAAAATGAGATGGATGTTGAGGGTTCCCAACAAAACAGTCTACAGTAAAAACCTGACTCAGTGAGCACCCTCCACATGCACAAAGCTTCTAGCCAACTTTTGGTGCTTCACAGTTACATGCGAGCACACACTTAAGGAAAGTCTCTCAATATGAAATATAGAGACCAGTGAATAGCAAAAAAGCAACTTGAACAAAACAAAGTCTATGCTAGAGGAAGAACAGATTCTCAAAGAGAGACAAAGTACATCTACCATAGAGACATAGGAGGCTGATTAAAAAAAAAGAACATACAGGAAACTAAAAAGTGCTCATGGAAATCAGAACTATTGGGCTTGATATTCTGTTTGTCACTCTAGATCCACTACCCTTCTCTGTGGCCCAGGAAGCTGGCCTTTATGGACTTTATCAACTAGGCTCCCTTGCCCTCTGCCTCTGAATGTGCTAAAGGGACAATACACTGCCAACTACAGTAAACACTCAATAAATTTGTTGACTGAGAGCATAAATGTCATGCATGGGCCACAAGTGAATAATCCCAGCTACCACTCCTGCCAACATTACTTTACAACTATTCCTAAATCAACCCCTTTCCTGTGTCTAGCCCCACTACCCTAATTCAGTCCCTTAGTACCTCTTTCCTGAAATATGGCAACAGCTTCCTAAATGGTCCCCACTCAGGTCTACCTTCCTCATTGCTACCAGAGAGCTCCTTCTAAAATGCAAGTTTGGTAATGTCATTCCTCTGTTTAAAATCCTTCACTGCTTCCCCATGTCTCAGATTAGGTCCAACCTCCTTAACATGGCATCTCCATGATTAGGCCCCTGCCTATCTTCAGTCTCAACTCTTGAGCCTTTTTGTCTCATACTGATTGTCATTTCGCATTTACTTCACACTGTTTCTCATATGTATGTCTTTATGATACTTTCTTTCCCTTGCACACTATCTATCTCCTTTTCAACTACCACATTCACCAGTTTAATTCTAACTCATTTAGATTAGTCATTGCCACCTCTAGGAATCTTTCCCCAATTCAGCCCTCAGGTAAAGCCTGGTGTCCTGTATGACCTGGTCTGCTTTGGTCCCCTGAATCCCTCAGCGCCCACGAGTCCCTGTCCTAGAGGGCTGCCACCCAGGGAAGGGGCTGCAAGAGCTGGCTGAGTTGGCTTTCTCCATCATTCCCTTCCCCCAGAAAGTGGTCCTAATTTCCTTTATCCTTTCCTTATTCTGGCAGATTCTCCTATGATTACATATATTTCAAATGAACCAATACTATAAGTGAATTTTTAAAATTTATAAGCCTAAAATATTGCTGACTATGCCCTTTCTTAATAAAAACTCAAGTATAAACAGATATGTTAATTTAAATCATCTTTTAGATTTTGTACTATTAAAATAATAGTCCTGGAGTTTGAAACAATTTCTCTAAATAAAGAAATTTTGTGTGCCTAAGGCGATTACTCAGATTTTTTTTGTGTGGTAATCTTTAATGCGCGCACACACACACACAGAGCTGTCAGAAAGCTGTCCAAATTACACAAACAAACAAAAAAAGTGGCCAAGTTATTTCACGGCAGTTTGTTATACTGATGGGTTACCATGGAAACAAACTCAGACTACTTGGCAACTGAGACAAAAGCCACATTAGTAAATGCTTTCCGTGATGTGACTCATTAATTTCCTATATGAGTCTTATATGGTTGCTTAACCACTTTTAAGAAACAAAGCAACAGAAGAGGATTTGTGTTGATACTACAGAAAGCCAAATATTTATAAGATAAATGGTAAGCTGCTGATTGTGAAATATCTAAGCAGAGGACTTAACAGAAGATAAATGTTGCTATGGCCATTGTTCATGTTTCAAAAAAGTCAAAGGAAAAAATCTTAAAAAATAAAAATAATACAAAATAAAATGAAAATTATGGACCCATTTTTTTATGACTAGTTACTGTACCAGCAAACTGCATTACTTAATATTCTAAGAATAACTTGTACATGTATATACTCTAGGCACATATTTAAAATTATGCCATATCTTAGTAACTCAAAGTATTTTTAACTTGTTAAAAACAGTGATAAAAAACTGCTATGAGGAATGCAAGCTGTTTTGCCAGACAGTATTACTGCATGGACGTTAAGAGCCAGTCCGCTTCATTCAAATCCTGTGTCTGCTACTTGCCAGCTGTCGCCACAGATAGTCCTTAAACTGCATTTCCGTTTCCTCCTCTGTGGAACAGGTATGGTAACGTTACCTACACCTCATGGGAATTTTGGGAAACCAAGTGAATTATTACACTCAATGTTTGAAACAATGCCTGGCTTATAACGGATCTCCATAATAAATGTTAGATATTGTTATTATCAAGGATATAAGTAGTTTTAAGGGCACTTACATTTGCCCTCCAGAGAGAAATAATGGTTA